CTAAAATGTCTAAAAATTTCCCAAAACTAAATATTTGTTCATTATTCATTTGGCAGAAAAACCTGACAAGAAATTCTGTGAGGTTGTTTAGCTTTTATTTATTTCACTGAATGTGAGTGTTGAATATTTTTCTGTAGAAATCAACTGTGTTTGGTTATAAGTGCTTCCCCAGATCAATGGGGATGTGATAGTCTATCTGGCCCCAAGATTGGGCCTATATCTGAATTTAAGGACTGTGTCAAATATTTGCTTTCTGAGACCTGAATTATCTTTCAAACAAGGATGTTTGAACTGTAATAATTGAGGATCTATTATTAAGTTTACAAATTGTGTGATTAACATGACCTGTTGCATTAGAAGACAGTAATTATAACAGTAAAAATTGTCACCAAGCCCTTACTACAGACCAGCCATTTTGCTAAGCACTTTACACACAGTATCTCATTTAATTCTCAAAATTCTTAAAAGGTAAAGCTTGTCACTCTCCCTCTTTTACAGGTGAAAAATAATGGCTATTTAATTGCCCACGGTGAAGTGGCTTGTAAATGAGCAAGGAGCTGGAGAACCTTTCTCCAGAACCTGTGCTCTCCTCTACCATTTTGGGATACGGGTGGTTTCCTGTGCCTTCTCCCACTGGCTTATGGCCACTTTGATGGAGAAGCACACAGACCATTTCACCTGCAGACCCATCACAGAGGCCCATGTCAAAGGTTTTAGCAAAAGAAAACTTTGGTGTTAGAGACCAGACATGCAGCTTGGAAGATGAGAGGTGGGGTTGAGTTCTTGCTGATGATTTTTCCCAGTTGTAAATCATTTGGGGCTCAGCATGACCATTGTCACTGGGATCCCATGGTTCATTTATTTCTCATAGTCATTCATTGTCCGTTGTCCTGAAGTCAACCCGCCTCTTCTTCCCCATAGAAAATTCCAATTGGTAGTGCAAATTAACTTATGGAGGTGGGTTTCATGAGATTAGTCATAGTATTTGGTGACATTTAGTGGAAAGAAAAACATGATAAATCACAGGGGGAAAAATAAGCTTTTCCTTATTTTTTCTGTTTCTCTCTCATACCCTTTTCCTTCCTTTTGCTCTTTCTGTTTTTGACATCCTATCTGTCCTCTCATTTTGTAGATTTTAATCTGCATATTCCTGGCGTATACACATTTTCTTCAGCTTTTACTTTCCTTACTAATTTCTCAAATTTCTTTTTTTCTTTTTTTCTTCTCCAAATTTCCCCTTTGTGGCTCTCGTCACTTGCTGTATTCTCACTCATTGTTCTCTATTCTGCTGATGTAGAACAGTCTTATGCATAAAAACCTGCAGACAAATGTTTCAGTACTTGTAAACTACCCTGACAAAGAAATGCCTGTTTATTAGATTTCTTTGACCTTTATACCATAAACACTTCTCTTTAAGCCATGTCGGAATTGCCTTATTAGTATCCTGTGCCATTGCAAAGGAAGTGGGTTATCATTTTATCATTCTATGACTTTTCTTTAGCAAATAGCTTGCTATAGACCATTTGTCTACTACATTGAAGATGACAGAATAGAATTCAGTTCTCCCATTATTCCCAGTCTAGACTTCAGGCATTCAGTCAATATGAACAACTGGGATAGAGGACACACCAGAGGCTGTTGGGAAGGGAATGAGATTACCTGAGGTGACATAGTAACAGCCCTTGAACAGAAAGCAATAAGCTGAAAACCAGGCCCAGAGCTTGGTGGCCTAGGACCAGAGAGACAGATACATCTGTAGACAACTGGCAATGGCTCTGTGTCAGGTGGCTCTTCTGAAAACTAAGAGAGGAATAGGGATGGGCTAGGAAAGAGACAAGGGGAAGGAGCAGAAAGATGGAAACAATACATGGAAGAGATGGAAGACACAGCCGGAGGAGTCCAGATGGCACCTTGAGGGCTGTGGTGGTGGTGAAAGCAGGCACAGTGCTGGGGGTTGTGAGGGGAGGACAAAGCAGCAGTGACATGGAAGGGGGTGATGGCACGCTTTTGCCCTTTGGATTTTTAGTTGCTTCAAAGGCTACTAGGATGTGATGCCACTAAATAATGGATGGCATTTAGTGTAAGATCAAGCCAACCCTCCTCATTTTAGTAGCATCACAAGGTGGTATGATATTCAAGTAAAGGCACATGTAAGTTAGGGTGGTTCGGTACCTTGGTCATGAAGCTCAAGCTTAACTTGTGCTATGTGGTATTTCCAGGCAATACGACGGCACTAGCTGAGTTATAGAGCTAGTATAGACCACAAATTCTAAATTCTCTTACTAGAACTACAGAAGGTATTATTCTTAGTACCTGTTTTCTAAGTATATTTTCTCAAGAGTGGCATCAGTGTTTCATGTTAAGACAAGCTTTGGAAGGACAGATATGACTGGTAAGGAAGGGTGTCAAAACATCAATTCTGAAAAATGTATCATGTTTTTAGAGTCAGATTGTTGTGCCCCATAGTTTTAAAATAATGCTAAAACTAGTCTGCTTGTGGAAAAGCTTGCTAAAATCCACTAATGGATGCCAGACTCTAGACTTTAAAAATATATGCAGCATGCCTCTTAACATGAACTATGGCTGAACACAAGTTGAGGTGATTGGAAGCCTTCGATTTCCTTGAGCTAACAAAAGTTTAGTATCTTTACTTGTTGCTAAAGTGATCCATAGACAAAAGCATTGGTTCCTCTGAAGATTTTCTGCCACTTATTTTTCTATTGCAAATCAAAAATCATATAACCACAGTCAATATGTTTTAATTCTAGATAGTTTGAGAGCTCACTTTGAGTAAATAAGAATCAATTATAATATTGATTTGATCTAAGATTTGAGATATTATTCAGAGTATAAAGTATTTGAGAATAGACATTAAGAAAGATTTGGGTAAAACTGTGGGTTGATGTGAGATATATAAAAAATCTTATTCTTTTTTTTTAATTAAATCATAGCTGTGTACATTAATGCAATCATGGGGTATAGTGTGGTGTTTTCATATACAATTTGAAATATTTTCATCAAACTGGTTAACTTAGCCTTCATGTCATTTTCTTAGTTATTGTGTTAAGACGTTTATATTCTACTTTTAGAAGGATTCACTTGTATCTTTGTGAGATAAACCATAGAGGTGATCCCTTCAGTCATCCTCCCCCCACCCATCCACCCCCTCCTCTACCCCCCCATATTCTTAGGCTATAATTAGGTTAAAGCTATCATATGAAAGCTATAAATTAGTTTCATAATAGGGCTGAGTACATTGGATACTTTTTCTTCCATTCTTGAGATACTTTGCTAAGAAGAACATTTTCCAGCTCCATCCATGTAAACATGAAGGAGGTAAAGTCTCCATCTTCCTTTATGGCTGCATAGTATTCCATGGTATACATATACCACAATTTATTGATCCATTCATGGATCTTATTCTTTAATGTGTAAGCTTCTGTGCAGTGGCCTTTATGGAATAGATCACCTCACCCCCCTGCAATCACACAATCAAGCATCAGTTCACATCATGAAGCAATGTTATTTCTTCATATTCAATTAGCCACCTCATTATTAATAAGATAGTTAAAATACAACTGAGTTCATGATACTGCAGTGACGTGTAGTATTTGGACTGCTGTTGCCCAAAGGCCCCCAATGGAAGCATGTTGAAGATTTATGGAGGATTCTGAAATAATCTGAGCGATGATAGCTTTGGTCTACGATAATATGACTTTACTTCATAAGAAAAATATAAGAGACCAAAAATAAAGACATTTTTTAAAGAAAGCAAATTCTACTGAAAGATTTATTTTCTGCTCTTATCATTATATGCCTCATATGTGGCAGACATGGTACCCAGCAATTCTCATACATTACTAGGACTTAAAAAATAGCTAAGATAATACATAGATATATTTATCTGTTATACAGACAAAAAACAGACATTCAGGAAGGTTAAGCAGCTTGCTTAAGATTTCATGGCTAATGAGGGGTAGAGGAATTTTGGAATGTCTCTAGCTTCAAAGCCAGTCTTCCTCTGGGATTTCGCCACCATTGCCTGGGACAGTAACTACACCACAGTCTCCCATCAGAACCACAAAAGAAAAGTTTGATTATGTTCAGTAAGATTTATTTAAGGAGGAACAGATGATTTTAGTGAAATTTCCCTATTTTATAGGTTAAAATTAATTCTTTGGGCTGGGCGTGGTGGCTCACGCCTGTAATCCTAGCGCTCTGGGAGCCCGAGGCAGGTGGATTGCTTCAGCTCATGAATTTGAGACCAGCCTGAGCAAAAGTCAGAATTCGCCTCTACTAAAAATAGAAAAACTGAGGCAAGAGGATTGCTTGAGCCCAAGAGTTGGAAGTTGTTGTGAGCTATGATGCCACAGCACTCTACCCAGGGCAACAACAGCTTGTGAATCTGTCTCAAAAAAAAAATTAATGCTTTATTTAAAGATGTTAGATTGCATCTCAGGTGATTGGAATATGCTATCATCTTACATTGGATGAATAACTAAAGTATTAAGAGTTTAACTTTATAAACTATCTCAAAAGTTCGCTTTTAGATTTCAAGTTATTTATAAATTGTATTGATTATGTTTTGTTTAATTTTAATCAGAAGGTATCTTTCTTTCAAAATTGTGTATGTCATCAGTTATTATTTTCCATTGATTTGGGAATCCTTACAAGATATCCACTATAATGACCACCTTTTTGGTCATTAAAAATGTTTTTAGAAATATATTCATGGCACTTTCAGTTGAAATTAAATTATGGAGTTTTGACTCTATGGATACCTAATAAAAATGCATTAGCTCTATGTGCACATTATATTTACTTATTTTTTAAATTTCAGATGATTAGGTTACAAATGATTAGGTTACACTGTTTGCCTTTGATTAGGTTGCAATGATTAGGTTACTGTTTGCCTTTGTTAGGTAAAGTCCAAGTTGCATTTCAGGCCTTCACCCATTCCATTTACTTTTTTATCTCAATGTTTTGAAATTCAGGTCCCAAGTCATTTGCAAAGGCATTTTCCAGTGGCTATCTAATCGGAGAAGTTCTGCACAAGTTTGAACTTCAGGATGATTTTTCAAAATTTTCAGAAAGCAGGTCAGTGAAATTATTCCTTATTTTTAAAAAATGTCAATTCATTTGGTATTTGGAAAGTCATAAAATCCCTTCCAAACCCAAACCAGCCAAGCAGATCATTGGTATAGAAATTGTTGCTTCCTCACACATGTACTGTTTATCATCAAAAGAACACAAATTTGCATATCTGACTATAAATTTCCCTCTAATTAAAGGAGAGAAAGTTATACTGTTGCAAAAGACATCATCTCTAGATAAGACTCATTAAAACATCTTCAATATTTCTGAAACTTTAGGCCATATTAGTTCCTTCTTTTTTAATTGTTCTTTCTTTTAAGAGAAAAGAAATAACACATAGTTTCCTGGGTGATCGATTAGTATTATTCTTTGTGCTTTAAAACTGTGTAGTATAAAATAGAACTTAACTATGAGGGCGGCACCTATGGCTCAAAAGGGTAGGATGCTGGCCCCATATGCCAGAGGTGGTGGGTTCAAACCCAGTCCCAGCCCCCCCCCAAAAAAAACTTAACTACTAATAAAAAGATAATAATGTGTTTTGTTTTTAGAGGCTACATTGGGATATAATTCATACACCAAAATTTACCATTTTGAAGTATACAAATCAGTGGTTTGTAATCTAGTCACATATTTACTATTTTCATAATCGTCATCACTATTTAACCACCTCGCCTCTGCTGCCCCCTAATCTACCTTCTCTTGTTCTGGATTTGCTTACGCTAACATCTCATCTCAACAAAATCATTCAATAGATGACGTTTTGTGATGGCTTCTTCTACTGAGGATAAGGTTTTTAAGGTTCATCCATGTTGTAGCATCTATCCATACTTCTGCATTTATATTTTTTTGCTGAATAATTTCAATCATGTGGATATATTAGACTATATTTTGTTTATCCATTTATCAATTAATAGATATAGTTATCCCTCAATATCCTTGGGGGATTGGTTCTAAGACCCTTCCTATAGATACCAAAATGGGGAGATGCTGAAGTTTGTTATATAAAATGACGTAGTAGTTACATGTAACCTAAATACATCTTTCCATATTCCTTAAATAATCTCTAGATAATACCTACTACAATGCTTACACATCACTTCATTCTTGAGGATTCAATACAGTACTTGGTGTGTGGCAAGTTCAAGGTTTACTCTTTGGAACTTTGTAAAATTTTCTCTCCAAATACTTTTTCATCTGCAATTGGTTGTATCCATGGATGCAGAACCCATGGATATGGGCAGCTGACTACCTTTGAGTTATTTCTACTTTTTGGCTGTTATTAATAATATGCTATGGACATTGCATTTTAGCATAAGTATGTTTTCATTCCCGTTGGTTAAATACCTAGGAATGAAATTGCTGGGTTATATAGTCCATGTTTATATTTTGAGACACATCTAAACAATTTTTTAAAGTGCCTGCATCATTTAAATTCCACTGAGCAGTACATGAAGCCTTGATTTCTCCACATCCTCATCAGTACTTGTTATTGTCTGTCCCTCCCTTCCTCCCTCCTTCCCTTTCTCCCTTCCTCCCTCCCTTCCTTCCTTCCTTCCTTCTTTCCTTCTTCCTTCTCTCTCTCTCTCTCTCTTTCTTTTTGACAGAATGTGATTTTGTCACCCTTGGTAGAGTG